GTAAAGAGGCGGAGGAGAGGCAGAAAATGGAGATAGGGAACACGAGCGCGGTGGCGAAAGAATGATCAGGAGCAGAAGCTATTTTCGAGCGCGAACATGCTGCGGTAAAGGCACATTCCCGCTGGCAAAAAACGCAGCGTGGCACGATGTTCACACGAATTCGCTACAGAATTGGCATGGCGCGCCTCGAGCACGTAACTCACTTGGCGCACGTGGCACGAGACGAATCAGGCGCACCAGGTATGCTTGGGCGCCTGGCGACGCGCCTCGCGAGCGGGGCGTACTCGGCGCGTGTGGTGTGTGGGCGCGAAGCAGTTTGCGTCTTTCCTGTTGGGAGCTTGATCCACCCTCCACCATCACCCCCCCTGCCTGCGTCGGGCGCCCACTCCAGGGCAACATAACAGAACTATTGCCCGGACTCCCTGACACAGAGCCCCCCTCATCCTCCTCCTCCTCCTCCTCCTCCTCCTCCTCCTCCTCCTCCTCCTCCTCCTGCTCCTCGTCACCATCACCATCACCATCACCATCACCATCACCATCATCATCATCATCATCATCATCATCATCATCATCATCATCATCATCAGAATCATCATCATCATCATCATCATCATCATCATCATCATCATCATCATCATCATCATCATCATCACCATCATCCTCATCATTTCACTCATCGTCCTCCTCCTTCTCCTTTTCCTCCTTTTCCTCCTCCTCCTCCGTCTCCTCCTCCTGCTCGTCCTCCTCATCCTCCTTCTCCTCCTCCTCCTCTTCATCATCGTCCCCTTGTCCCTTGCCTACCTGCGGAAGGGGAGGTCCGAAAAGGGAGGAGAAGAACGTCCCCCTTGGTGGACCGCAGACAATGTGTTTTTGCACTGTGGATGCGCCATATATGAGTGGTGCGACACGTGGTGAAATCTACACGGTGCAATGTGCGATCTACGCGGCACGAACATTTTTGGGCGACTCATGGGCTGTGAACTCCGCTGCTCGCGCAGTGATCCAACCCTCCCACGCGCAACGTGTTAGGCAAAAACCTACGCGGTCACGATTGCGGTTGCCAGTTGGCACTTGCTGGCGCATCGCTGCGCCCGCGCTGGCGCGCAAACGCTCGCGCGCAGGGCCACCCGCTGGCTTGGCACAAGTAGTGCGGCAGCCAAGGCGTTTTCCTTTGGGAGTTCCCCAACGCGTCTCAAAGGCCGCGCTGGCGCGCGGGCGCGTCAATGCGGGTCGTGACTCGAGCGGGCGCGGTATCATGATGACGTCGACAACGGCAGCAACGATGATAGTAGCGATGGTGGTGGCGAAACTGGCGATGTCGACGGCAAGACCACTGACGACGCCGATGCCGGTAACGATGATGGTGATGATGATGATGTCCATGTGCCAGTAATGGATGTGTTTGTGCTGATGATTGCGGCAATGGCAGCGATTGGCATGAGGCCGATGACGGCAGTGACGCGATGGCGCTTATGAGGGTGATGGTGAGGAAGTGCGCGCGCAAATATTGCAGAACCCTGACAGATTTAAATAGAAAATCACGTGGGTTGTCATACGTTCTTTGCAGGGCTGTATCTCGAAAAGCTTCAACAGCTAACGATGTGTGGTGATAGGAAAATGCAGGTTCTGGACGATAGTACTGAAAACCGACGGTCGTCCTATGATTTCGGCAAGTGCGCGCGGACAGCACATCTGCACAACGTTTGATGACAAGCCATGGGTTGTTGATATGTATGTTTGACACGCTCGCAAAAATATTGTGTTGGGTGTGATTTCGACATTATGGGCGCGCGTGTGGATGTTGTGGTATTGTTTCCAACGGTTTCTTGCTAACTCATCCTGTGAGAGCGACCAGTGCGCGCGCATGAAATAATCTGGCAAGGATGTGGGGGGTCAATACTGGCTAGGCTGGGATGGTATGATTTCATGTGCAAAATGAACAAGGACCATAACCATCTATATCTATAAATACAAATACATATGTAGTAATCATCGTCCAAGGGGAAGACGAAAAGTCCGATTTCACCAGGGAGAATACGTTGTGCAAGTTACGGGCCGCAAGCGATGCAGTGCAATACATGGAGTGCAGTACTATGTGTTGTTGGTCCAGTCTATGCCGTGCAGTCGATGTGGTGCAAGCCCGGTTGTTCGGATCCTACTCCTCATCACTATTATCAGGCATGCTATGGGGGCGGCACTCCGTCCGCAACGTCAGTGCGCCCGCACGCGAGGCCGCGCACAGGCGAGCAAGCAGCAGACCTGGATGAGCAGCAGGACGAGAGCGCCCACCATCTTCAATCCCATCGCACGACCGCACCGAAGAAAGCAAGATCATGCAAGGATGGAATCCTCCTCCACCTCCTCCTCCTCCTCAACCCGCTCCTCCTCTTCCTCATTCTCCTCTTCCTTCTCCTTTCCCTCCTCCTCCTCCTCCTCCTCCTCCTCCTCCTCTTCCTCCTCCTCCTTCCCCTCCTTTCTCCTCCTCCTCCTCCTCCTCCCC